TTTCTGATATTCTATTATTAATCATTTGGACCTCTTTCTGTAGGTTTTGAATTGTTTCCAATGCTGTATTTATCTTATTTGATTGTTCCTGTAGCACTTTCCTGACTTCTTCCTTATTTTTCTCAATTCTATTATGTAGTGTTTTGATAACATTTTATAATCATTTTTCTGAATTCCTTCTCAGGCATTTCCAAGGCCTGCCCATCTTCCAGTATGGAGTGTAGGTCTACTTCCAGCTCATTTGCATCAGTCACTTTATCTTGTTTCTGGACATGTGCAGATATGGTCATCTGCTTCTGTTTTTTGGGCATATTCAGGGGTTAATCTGTGGACTTAATACTTAGATGGGTATGTATTTTGGAATTTTTTATCCTTTGTGATTGCCTCCATGTACATGGGATCAGGAAATGGGCTTCCCTTTTCACTCTTCTTCTTGAGAAATTTCAAGATGCCACTGTTGGTCATTGTGACATAATTTAGGGTTTAATTTTCGGCCTACTTCCTTTTTTGTCTGCCTGTCATGCTCCACAATCCCTGTTCAGGCCTTGTTTCTAATTACAAATAGTTCAGGGCCGGCTGTGGCCATTTGGTTTTAATTGGAAACTCTCTCTTTAAATTTCGAGGAGATCTGTGTGCATGTGTAGGAGAACCCTCCGAGGGTGAGGCTGGGGTGTCCACTAGCTCAGGCACCCCTATAGTCACCAGAATGGAGGTGAGCAGACAGCAAGGGACAAATGAACAGATTCCAAAAGAAAAGAATGTCTACACCTTTATCTCCGCGGTTCTATCAGGCGTCCATGGCTGCTCTGATCCTTCCCCTGCTTGGTCTCACCCAAGATGGCGGCTCCTGGAGCAGCTGAGCATCTTGAATTAGAAAGCAATGGATTTCTTGCTTCTGCTACAAATTCCCTTAGCTGTAAGCCTTCCAACCGTGTAAATATTCCTTTATATGTGGTTCAGAGTTCTGGGAGTAACCCCTGAACCTGCTTGGTTGGGTATTCTGTGTTGTTGCTTACGGAGCTCTTTACAACAGTTCCACTCGATCCGCCATCTTGTTTGTTCTCTCCATTTTAGGTTTTGATTGACAAAGTGCTATGTGATTTCTTCTGGAGCCCTCTAATTTGTGCATAAAAATTTTTCTTTTGAATCCATTAAAAATTTTGAAATGCACATTTTAAATGTATGCAGATGACAGACATACTGGTGGGCCAGGAGTGAATGTATCAGAGGGGTTACCTATCTGAATGACTAGGGGAAAAGGGGCATTCCCTGAAACTAAAGACTAATAGAATTTTTAGTGAATTCTGTGTATGTCGAAATGATAGCTATATCTTAGCATTTTCATTAATTCTTAGTGATTTAATTTTTTTTTTTTTTCTGCCAGGAAAAATAACATATTATTACCTCTTTTGAGTAATCTGGACTTTACAAGTTTACCATCACATCCTCAAATGTAGTTGGGTTTCTTTTGGTTTTTTTTTAATGACTCACCAACCCTACCCCACCCACTCCTCTAAAACCCAATTTTCTTCCTTTCTTCCACAGTAATATGAAACATATGAGGAAGCAGCTCGATCGACTGGGTCTGTGTTTCAGCTGGGATCGGGTAAGGTGTCCCTTTCTCCTGGGAGTCCCTGTTGCTTCAAGAACAGTGCACATTTACTTCATGCTCCTCTTCTTTGTGCTGGTAGAAGAGAAGGGAGGAAGGCAGGGGGTAGGAGAAGAGAATTAACTCTCCACAAATCAAGTGTCTGACTGGATCATTTGCCTACATATAAGTAATTTTCTCTGGGATGCAACTAAGAATTAACTTCTAATTTAATTTCATTCTTGCCTGTGATTTATGTGTTGCAAAAGCTTTGCACAAGGATTTCTCCTGTCATTACTAATGTGGTTTAAAAAGACAGATATATACAGAAATCTATACAGAAGTGATTAAGTATCACCCATCTGGTCCTTTCACATGATTTGGTGTTAGGCTGATTGAACATTTACCTTTTGTTCTGAGTTCAAGAATGAGACTCTTAACCTGTAATGCCTCCTTTCATTGTAAAAATGTTTTAAAACCTTATATTAAGCCAGTATGCTTGAATATGAGAAACATTCATACAACATTCACATTCATACATGAACTGAAGGTCTCAAGCTCTGGTGAAGCCCTGGCCCTTAGGCATGGTTGAGTGGCCTTTAGGTAAAGTGAACTCCTGCTTTCCATGAGGGACCCCTTCCAATGTCATCCTATTTATTCCACAGAATGACTGAGATCTCATTGCTGGGTCTGTCAAGGAGACATCTTTTTACTCATGAGAAGTACTTAGAACAAACTCAAATGGCCTTCTCCAACAGTTCCTTAAATAATTGAGATTTGATGAGAACAGTGAAAAAGAAAATTAAACTCATTTGAAGAGACCTTTTTTTTCCTTTTCTTTCTTGCGCTTTCTTTTGCTTCATAATGAAAATGCCTGGGCTGAATTAAGTTCTCTCATTGTACCATTAATGTCTTTTTTTACCACTGACTTGCAAGGTCACCAGTGTTTCATTTAGCGGAGATGTAAAAAACTCCTGGTGCATAGGTCAAGGTGTCCTGAGGCTCCAGGCAAGAATAGCCAATACATATGAAATACAATCTAAGGTAGAGAGAACTGAGTACTACCCAGAGGCCTTCACAGATGACATGGTGGACTCTGCCAGTACAGAGATGGATTTGTTAGCTCTCTAGCATGATAACACATTTAGTTCTGATTTTTTTAAATGTCAGATGCTGTTCCTGGTTAGCATAGATGATGAGAAAATAGAGAAAAGCATTTTAAAAAGAACGTGAAGTTATTGTGGCTAATTAAACATTCTGGTACGTTTTCTTGTAGTCTTTTATTCTGAAATTATAAACACTTATATATTTACTAATGTAACATTGAATTCATAATGCATAGACTTTTAGCTTGTTTGTTTTTACCTAGAGTTCATGAACATTTTTCCATTTCAACACATATCTAGTGAAAGAGTGACTTTTTATAGCTTAATAGTCTTCCATCATATGTATGCATCATAATTTATTTAATCTATCCCTTATATTATATATTTAGATAGATTCCAATGATTTTCTGTTATAAATATGGGCTTTCAATCCCTGCTAGGCAAATCTGAAATCAAGAAAGCTCTGAAAACCAAAACTTTTGTCTTAACTCATTTGTCTATAGCATCTAATAGTTACTGAACACTTACCATGGACCAGTCGTGTACTACATGATTTTCTCTTTAAAGCCCTAAAAATCCGTGAAAGGTAGCTACTTTTACTGATGCCATTTTGTTGCTCATCACACGAGTGGTTGCCTGGGCTTTCTAATCCAGTGGCCAATTTATGACTTCTGTGTTCATAACCCCTCCACATGTGAATTAGAAATCTTGTTGTTCGGTGATATTGATCATTACCAACTCACAGCACCCCTGTGCACAACAGAAAAAAACACTGCCCGGTCCTGCGCCAACCTTACCATCATTGCTATATTTAAGCCCCCTGCAGCTACCACTGTGCCAATCCATCTTGATGGGGTCTTCCTCTTCTTCTCTGACCAATCTATTTTACCAAACATCATATCCTTCCCAAGGACTGGTTCCTTCTGACAATATGTCCGAAGTATGAGAGTTGAAGTCTGGCCAACCTGGTTTCCAGGGAGCATTCTGGCTGTACTTCCAACACAGATAGGTTTGTTCTTTTGTCAGTCATGGTGCTTTAAATATTCTCCAACTCTATAGCTCAAATAAGGAGCTCTGGTAGCGTAGTGGTTACGACTCGGGCTGTGAACCGCAAGGTCAGCAGTTCGAAACTACCAGCTGCTCCGCGGGAGAAAGATGAGGCTTTCTACTCCTGTAAAGATTTACACCCTCGGAAACCCTGTACAGGGTCGCTATGAGTCGGTTCCGACTCCACGGCACATAACAACAACAACAACAATAGCTCAAATGCATCAGTTCTTCTGTGATCTTCCTTATTCACTGCCCAACTTTTACATGCATGTGAGATTATTGAAAATACCATGGCTTGGGTCAAGTGCCGTTAGTCCTCAAACTGACAGCTTTGCTATTCAACACTTTAGAGAGGTCTTGTGCAGTTGAGTTGCGTAATGCAATACACATCTTTTGATTTCTTGTCTGCTGCTTCCATTAGTGTTGATGGTTGATCTGAGCAAAATGAAGTCTTTGACAACTTCAATCTTTTTTCCATTTATCATGATGTTATTTACTGGTCCAGTGGTGAGGATTTTTGTTTTCGGTACATTGAGATGCAATCCATACCAAAGGCTGTGGTCTCTGATTTTCATCAGTAAGTATTTTAAGTCCTCTTTACTTTTAGCAAGCAAGGTTGCATCATCTACATATCCCAAGTTGTTAATAAGACTTCTTCCAATCCTGATGCCACGTTTTCTTCATATAATCCAGCTTCTTGTACTATGTGCTCAGCATACAGATTTATTAAGTATGGAGAAAGAATACAACCACAGCACACCTCTTTCTTGATTTTAAACCATTCAGTATCCCCTTGTTCTGTTTGAACAACTGCTTCTTGGTCTCTGTACAGGTTCCTCATGAGCACAATTAAGTGTTCTTGAATACTCATTCTCTCTAGTGCTATCCATGGCTTGTCATGATTCACACAATTGAAAACCTTTGCATAGTCAGTAAAGCACAGGTAAACATCTTTCTAGTATTCTCTGCTTTTAGTCAAGATGCCTCTGACATCAGTAATGATATCCCTCATTATACTCCTCTTCTGAATCTGGCTTGGACCTCTGAAAGTTCTCTGTCAGCATATGATTGCAGCTGTTTTTTAATTATCTTGAACATAGTTTTGCTCGCATGGGATATTAATAACATTGTCTGATGATTCCTGCGTTAGCTGGGTCACCACTCTTTGGAATGGGCAGCTATATGAATCTCTTCCAGTCAGTTGGCCAGGTAGTTGTCTTCCAAATTTCTTAGCGTAGATGAATGAGTGCCTGCAATGCTTCATCAGTTTGTTGAAAGATTTCAATTTGTATTCTATCATTTCCTGGAGCCTTGTTTGTACTTCTTCCTTCAGTATCATTAACTCTGGTTTTTTTTTTAAGGTTTTTATTGTGGGTTGAGTGAAAGTTTACAGGACAGATCATCGGTTTTACATTCAACAAATCATACATCTTGTTTCATGACAATAATTATAATCCCCTCCATGTACCATCAGTTAACAGTATTTCTCTCTATTCGATTTAGCTTTAAAAAACAACAAAAAACCCTCAGGCATACATACTAATTTACACCTCCAAAGGGTGCATTCTGCAAGTCAGCCTCCTGGCTACCAGCTCTTAGTGCCTCTCCTCCCATGCATCTAGGGTCCTCAGCCGCTCGTCCTCTCCATGACCCCCTCTCTGCCTCCGTCTCTGGCGTCACTGCTTCTCTGGATAAGGTCCTATGTTCTGCTTGTGCTTTTCTCCCTTGATGGTCCAAGGGTCCTCTGTTTCTGGACTTTAAGATTAACCACTCCCCTGGTTTTGTTACAAAACTTCTACATTTACAATTGTGACAGTCACAATTAGTCATGATAACAATTATTCACTGTTGATTCATACGAATCTTATCCCCATCTCTTTTCACCAAACCTGTCTAGACAAAATGAAAACTATTCAGTGGGGACTCTTTCTCCCCCCACCCCACACCCTTAAACTAAACTCCTTCTTGAAACCTTGTAAGCCCGTCACATAGTGCCTTTATCACTCCCTCATTTAAGGTAGCCAATGTCTAAGTTGCCCGTCCCTATCTACCATGTGTACAGAGGAGGGGATAGCATTGATAGTTGATGTGAAGACTCTGTTGGTATTTAGAGTTACAACCTCCATGAGTACAGGTCAGGTTCATCAAATTGTAGCAATTTACCCTTGTTTCTTTTATTAAATTTTATATTTTATTTTTTTGTAATCGTCCTCTTGTCAAGTTCTGATTATCAAGCCATTGAGGCTAAGTTGATACATCATATCAGCTGGATGCTTTACTCTCAGCTCTAGCCCTCTGTGGCTGTGTCCTTGTCCATGGGCTCAAGTGTCTCCAGGTCTCACCACACTTTGGACCAACCAGCCCTTCCTCTTCTCTCTCTCATCTCCAGGTCAACAGGAGTCAATGGACTGTGGTTGAACTCAGTCCATTTCTTCATTGCTGCCTTTCCCCCTCTTCCACTCCCCAATAGACCAATGTGGTAGCCAGCAAGCTTACATGCCTGTTTGTGTGTTTCTTTTGAGTTTCAGTCTTAGAGGGGAGTTTGTCCTGAAGGAACTTGGTTGCTTGCCTTGATGGCTTCCTGGTGAACAGCTTGCTTATTCTTGTAGCAGCCAATCATGGTGACATTTTTGTTTTGGGTTTTTCCTGATGATCTTTCTTTGAAGATGTATCTTCTGTTGCTCTAGCTGTTCCAGGCTGGTCTGCTTATCTTTGCTAGTGGGAATGTCCCACCTCATAAGGTTCTAGATAGGACTCAGGATTCCACTTAAGGTCCTATACTCTGCAAAGGCTATGCAAGAGGCCTATTTCACTGGGCAAGTTCTAGAAACCCTTTTAGGTATTCCAGTCAGAGGAGTCCTG